CCCCATATAATTTCCCACGAAGGGAAATTTTCCCTGCCATTGTGTGTTGGCATTTTCCCTTTTTAATTTGCCTACCTATTGGAGAGAAAAACACTTTTTCCCTACCTATTGCATTTGGTCTTAGGGGAAATTTTATATTAAAAAATGATGCAAAAAAGTTTCTCGAATGACGAATCAGAAAATAAATATAAAATGAACCGACAATGATATAAAACTGTTTAATGTTCACTTCTAACCGTCATTAACGGTAAATTAACCGACCATAATAAATATTTTAAAATTATGTAATGGACAAAGGTCTTGATGTCCGTAATTACCGCAGTCTATTTGATCGCACTCGTTTTCGCATATATATTAATATCATGTAAATTGAATAATCTTCTAAAAAAAAATAATCTTCTCACGTATGCATCAGGCATCAACATCTCTTATTTTGTTGGTCTGTTTACATTTGAAAATATCAGGAAGAATCGGAAGTTTTTTTTTCCCTTTTATAATTGTTTAGACAGTATTTTGATATTTTCAAATTAAATAGATAAATATGGAATTTGACGTGTGCTTCATATATATAGCTCCCTTGTTTAAGCTTTTGATTTTCTCTGTTTGAGCTTTGGCTTCAGAAAGATTTTATATGTCTGCCGGTTTATGTGTACTTTCGAACTCCAAATTATCAATATAATCGATTTAGATAACAAAAGAAAAATGATTGAGACCCATTTGGATTGGAACATTCATGTTATCTAAGAGAGTATTTTGAGATCAATAAGTTGATTCATACTGCTCGTAACGTTAAAATTTGAGCCGACTCTTTTGAAAAAACAGTGTGAGCACATGATACTCTTTTTCTTGTAAATCAGACATAATTGGTATAATATCTGATACAATAACACACGATTTACGATATTTCTGTAAATTTCTTTGTTTTTTTCATTTTTGCTTTATTCATTTATATAAAAGCAATTTGGAACTAATAGTTCTTACAAACAAGAAAGCAAATTGCAACTAACAGTTCAAAC